AGAGAGGCTTGGTGATGATGGGAAGATGTGGCTAATTCTCCCTTAAACACTTGCTTGAAGCTCATAAATCTTATGATGACTAATCATCCTCTAAACTTGACAAATGGCATGACTTGAATGAACAAATCTCATTTCCTCAAACTTAAGAAACCCACGGCATTTAACTCAATAATCACACGGCATTATGCTTAATTGGTGATTAATTAACTTAATTAATCACAATTTATGTTTAATTATTTAATTAAACATAATACTTAATTACCAAAATTATTTCGAACGTAAACGGTACGTCGAAAATAGATTTCGGTAATTCCGACTGAACTTAATTAATTCCGAAAATAATAAACAATAACGTTACTATATCGGAATTAAAACGTAATTTATACCGATAAAATATCGGGATATTACACTGGAGGACTTGGAACCAGACGATCTAAACAAAACTAAAGAGCTCATAATAGCTCGACCTCGACGGCCGAGCTACAGAATAGACGACCTAAGGAAGGGACACGATCTAACAAGCATTACCTGCTGACTTATTAAGGATAAGAAGAAATTTAGGAGGATAAGATGGAATCTAAGGGTGACTAGAAAATGATTAAGAAATGGATAAGCGCTAAGCACATAAGATCAAGCCCGGACAGACTTCGTGAAGTAGACGGGCAGACTATTTCGGGCAGACATTTCCCTATAAAATGGACTAAGCTGTAATAAACGGGGGAAAAAACGGATGCGATCCCATGCAGATGAACGCACCATAAGAAGGGAAAGTCCAGATGAAGTCTAAGTGAGGTTCCATCCCAAAACCAATTGGTGGAAGGAGTAGTAGCCCATTAGACTTAAAAATTAGGCCTATTTTCCCTATATAAATGATGAGACAACTAACAAGTGAATATTCTAATACGTCCCCTCACTTGTGAGTCCTTCTTAAGAAAGCCCAAGCCCAAATATGGAGCCGGGTGCCCAAGCCCTACAAGAAAAGGGCTGGGTAAATGGGTATGTCAGCGCAAGGTCCCACATAGAACTGACTCTGATACCATGTAAGAAATGGGGAAAAAACAGGTGCGGCTCCACGCGTATAATAGCTAATTAGCCGGGTAAATTATGGAGGTTTGAAATAAGAGTCACTAGTTCGAATTTACCTGGAGGCTTGAAGCCGGGATGATATCAGTAAGCGGTGAGACAATAAGCTTTACATGTTTATATGATTATTATCCTATCTGTGTTTATGTAGAATCGATGCATAGTATGAATTTTATCACTGAGCCGAGAGACGGTGCTCAACCCTTTGTTTTTCAGGTTGATCGAGCTGGCGGCGGACACGAGAGACGGGCATGGTCGTCTTTAATTATGTTTTTTTTTTCTTTTTTTTGGGTATTAATTGGTGCAAACTCTGTTGAAAATTTGAATTCAATTTGACTATTTGTATTACGGTTTGATTAATCGAAACGTGTTTATTTTTGAAACATTTATTTATGTTCTGAATGTCTTGAAAGAAAGAATAGCATTTGAGTAATGTCCGTTTAGTTTAAATTGGAAAATAAATTTAAAAAAAAAAATCTGAAAATCCTTGTTTTCTTGTAAATAAATAAGATTGACTTGTAATCGCATAACTTTTTCACTTTAATTTCATTCTGAATAAAGTATTATAGAAAAAAAAAAAAGGTAATGATCATTTAGAGAAGTTTTTCATACTTTTCTTTTCCTAAAAAGAGAAGAATTATGAGGATGTAGTGGGATAAGATGATCGTAACTACTTGTCTAAATTGTTGAGTGCATATCCAGAGAAGTCAGAGAGGCATGTTTATAATATTTGTAATCTTTTGAAGTTATGTTACCACTGCAATTATAGATGGTGCGTCGATAAAGCCCGTCTTTAATAAACGAAGTCGTATATAATGATATGAATGTGTAGGAAACTTAACTCAAAGAAAACAACAGGGGAATTAGTGAGGGATGAAAATGAACAACTGTCGAAAATGGTACCCGGTTTTAGCTATGTTAGCCATTGATCTTGCCTTAGCTGTTAGCAATATACTTCTCAGGAAGATTGTGGGTGATGGGATCAACCTTTTGGTCTTCATTACTTATCGCCAGTCGATTTCCGCATTCTTTTTGTCTCTTCTAGCTTTCTTTGTGGAAAGGTATGGATAATCTACCTTGTTTGGCCTTCCAAAAAATTAAAACATGTGTGATGTACTTCAACATTCTCGAGAGTTTTCAGATAAAATATCAAATTCCATTGTTTTTAAATATGTTCTGTGTTTGGTTTTCATTTAAGCCAGTGATTTGTGTAGGAAAAGCAGGCCTAAGCTCACTTTCACCATATCGTGTCTACTTTTCGCAAGTGCAGTTATCGGGTAAAGTTAGAAATTATAGTAGAAATTATGGTGATGAAAGTAAGTAACGCGTGTATTGAAAATGATTGTGTTAGGACATCCGTAACACAGTTTATGTTTCTCGTGGGGCTACAATACACGTCCGCAACCTTCTCATGCGCCTTTCTCAACATGGTTCCCATACTAACATTCCTCATGGCTTTGCCATTCGGGTACCTCATATATACATATATATCTATTTTCATCCCAAAACATTCTCTTCATTTATGAATATTATATATATCCCTATTGCATGCAGTTTCGAGAAGGTAAATTTTAAGAGTGGTAATGGGGGCAGGGCAAAGGTGGTGGGTGCACTAGTATGCCTTGCTGGGGCCGTCCTGTTGACTCTCTATAAAGGAAAGCCTTTGTTCCGTTTTGCTGACTCAAATCAGCAATCTACAAATCCACATATGAAGCTAAATTCGGAGCGATGGGTTGTTGGCTCAATAGCATTGCTGGTAGGTACATTATGCTGGTCGTCGTGGTACCTTGTTCAGACGAGCATCGCTAAGAGATACCCGTGTCCGTATTCGAGCACAGCCATCATGGCTGCCTTTAGTTCCGTACAGTCTGCCATCTTGAGTTTGTCAGTCTCAAGGGACCTCTCCATCTGGATGTTGAACACTAAAGCACACATTTTTATTATTCTGTATGCGGTCAGTCTCAATCTGTAATACACCATTACCTAGATATTGCTCATCTCATTCCTCCTCAACATTTATCTTTATTTTTAATTCCTCAATTATAAACTTTCGATTTTTTTATCATTAGTTTTTCTAAAGTTGAAGTATTAATTATTTTGGGTATATCCAATGTTTTTTTTAAAAGTAAATAAATAAATATTTGTATTTGGGTAGTGAATGGTAAAAAAATTATGTGATGCAGGGGATGGTAGGAACTGGACTGTGCTTCGTGGGCATGTCATGGTGTGTAAAGAAACGAGGGCCTGTATTCACAGCAGCTTTCAACCCACTTGTGATGATAATGGCCGCATTGTTTGAAGTCCCGATTTGGCACGAACAACTTCATCTTGGAAGGTGATCGTGATGTACTGTACATGAGTTGCAGAATAAATGTTGTTGGATTTCCGATTACTCGTGAACTTAATCATTTTTTATATGTCTAACTGCGCAATAGGATCAGCTACTGTAATTGTTGGGTTTTACATTCTGTTGTGGGGTAAGGACAAAGAAATTCAAAAGCACGACACAAAATTAGCGGTGGAAACAGAAGAGAAGAAAGACCAAGAGAAACAAGATGATGATGATCAAGTTACAAAAAGTTTTGGTTGAATATGTATGGACATGACGAACACCGACCGCTTCAGTATGGCGCTTACTTTCGAATCTTCATCAACTTCTTTAAAAGTCTTTTTATGTTTTCAGTTTTTGTGGCAATATTTGTTAGAGTAGTATATCCGGCGTTCCAATCAGATTGGACGTATTCTACTTGAAAATACAATCTATTGGAATTATATTAATTAAAAGGCATTACTTTATCTTAAGAGTA